TAAGCGATATAACAAATTTTTACTACGTTAATAAAAACACCGATTAAACTTAAAATAAATAAATAAATATATAAGATCAGAAATAAAAATTAAAAATAAAATTAAAAATAAAAATAAATAAACACAAGCAAAATAAATTAACCCAAATAAATAAATAAATAAACAAATAAACGACTTCCGGCAAAATAACCGCCAATAGAGATTACCCATGATGCACCACTGACCCGTATATATAAATAGCCGAGAAAAAAAAAACAACACTCGTGAACTGACGATTCCCTCTATCATCATTCAGCCTGTCGCCTCTAAATGTTGACTTCTACGTTCACTTATATATATATATATATATATATATAGATAGATAGATAGATAGATAGATAGATAGAGATGGAATTTAGGCAGCAATCCTACATTTATACATGTTTCATTAAAGACGACAAACAAGGTACTACGATTAAGCTTTTTATTTAATTTTCTTGCGATCGAACAAGTATTTTCTTTTTTTGTACAGAGAGTGTGTAGAAACTGTTTAAAAGTTTTATAATTCCAAGAACTTTCGGCTATACTTTGAGCCATCATCAACGATGATTTTTATTTTGCCTTTTAATTGGGTTTATGGGTTGTGTTTATGTTTTTAGTTTTATAGAGATGTTTTACTTTCCAAACACAGCACATTGTGACCGTGTTCGTAGTTAATATTATTAAGCGTTGGCTTTTTCTTTTTTTATCATTAAGACTTCCATTATTTTTAATCTTTTTTTACATGTTGATGAGATTATTATGTTTGTATTTTCTACTTGTACGTTTCGGATAGATTCTGGTAATTTTGTGTGTGTGTTTTTTAAATGGATTCTAATAGAGTTATGATGTGATAGGTGTAATGTAGGGCGTCTGAATAGGTATGTAGCTGTGTGACCGATGTAATTATCTATGAATTCGGTTTAATCAGGAACACAGTCCTTAAGGAGCATTTGGATTCATAGATAATGTCCGTTCGTTGTAATTTTGACTTCTCTGGTGTGTTGTTATTTTTGAGGATAAGGTTAGCTTTTTTAATTTTTTTTATAGTAGATAATTTCTTCTTTTTTTTGTTCGGGCCAATTCTTTATTGTTTTTAGTAGTATATATATATATATATATATATATATATATATATATATATATATATATATTACATGAATCATTCATACAAAAAACATAATGTAATATAAATTGAACTGCACCACCTACTTGGTATATATATATATATATATATATATATATATATATATATATATATATATATATATGTATTTAGCAGCAAACATTCATTTATATATGTTTCATTAAAGGCTAGAGACAAGGTACTATGATTAAGCTTTTATTTAATTTTTCTTGTGATCCAGCAAGTGTTTGCTTTTTGGACAAAGAGTGTGTAGAAACTGTCCAAAATGTTTTATAATTACGAGTGCTTTTGGCTATACTTTCAGCCATTTTCGAGGATGATTTTATTTTTTCAATTTAGTTGGGTGTGTCGGTTGTGTGGATGTTTTTAGTGTTATAGAGATGTTCTGAACACAGCACATTGTGACCGTGTTCGTAGTTAATATTATTAAAGGTTGGCTTTTTCTTTTCCATTATTTTTAATCTTTTTTTTTACATGCGGATGACGTTATTATATTTGTATTTTCTACTACTATGTTTCGGATAGAGTCTGGTAAGTATGTGTGTGTGTTTAAATGGATTCTAATAGATTTGTGGTCGGATAAGTGTAACGTAAGGCGCCTGGATAGTCATGTAGTTGTGTGACCGATGTAATTATTTATGAATTCGGTTTGGTCCGAAAAAAAAAAAATTCCTGAAGGGGCATTAGAGCGGTGTATTTCTTTATGATATTTCTAAGTGAAGATTATATATAACATTTACCGGCCTGAATGTCCGAGAAATTTTCATAAAAAATATTCGTCCCACGGTAAATGTTATAGATACTGTTTATTATAAAAACAGAGCATTTACTTAAATATTTGTATCTATAAAAAGAATGTATAAACATAAAAATGTCTTAAGATAATTATCGAACATTGTCCATTTCATAATATATATATATATATATATATATATATATATATATATATATATATATATATATATAAAAAAAGGCTTAAACACTAATATTCCATGGTCATAATTTATTCCATTGGAATCGTAAATACGATCCAATTCATCAGACCTACAAATTTAACTATCCTGTACATTGAGTTATACCTGGATTCTATCCTCTTGCAATTTTTTTATTCAAATATATATATATATATATATATATGTATGTGTATGCATGTATGTATATATATTTATATTTTTATATATTTTGCATATGTATGTGTATTTTACCACTAATATTATCAATATATATATATATATATATATATATATATATATATATATATATATATATATATGTATGTATGTATGTATATATATATATATATATATATATATATATATATGTATATATATATATATATATATATATATATATATATATATATATATATATATATATACACACATATATAGATATAGATATAGATGGTAAGTACTCATTCAACGTGGTTTAATTAAATTTTATTTTTCCAATTTTCGAAGGTTTTTGTATTCTGGGTTCGAAATCGCAAATAAACAGCCTGAATTTTGTTTATTCTATTCGTTCTTTTAAGCTTTTTCAATCGTCTCGGTCATTTTCAAGAACCATGTATTTGTCTTAAAGTCAAGATTCCGTCAAACTTTATCCATTGTATTCTTTAGGAAGCTGAAAGTTTGAAATAGTCCAGGCTGACGTCGTCTGTGACGGTTAATTAGCTGTGGGTGTGGAAGTCGCTAAAAAGAAAGCGTTTTTTTTTTTTTTTTTTTTTTTTTAATTAGACGCATATTAAAAATTTAATACACACTTCAAAGATAATTTATGATCTCACGTGAGTATGGCGTCGCTTTGTTTCTAAGAATGCAAATATAATTTGAATTGAATGCCCCAGAATTATGAGTTATGTCGTGCAGACGTTCACAAGGCAGAACATTATAAAGAGAGAAAAGACTCAAGTTTCAAAATCAAGTGCTCAACATATTCACTTTCCTTCTAGATCGCAGCATGAGGGTCGGTCAAAGATTAATGATTATTTTTTCATTAATTCCAACTGATTTCATAGCAGAAATAAACTAAAACATTAAAGTATGAAGAGAAACGTCTCGTGATTTGAACACGCCAGAAACTTTTAAAAATGTATGTACACTATTTACATTATTCGGACTATTGTCCTCATCTTTGCTGCCATATTTATCACAACGTCCCGGCCTTCTTCAGGTGGTTGGAATGTCGAGCTAAACCCTTTATTTCGCTCGCTAAGGTAGACTCTTCTAGTTCCACATGTCTAAAGGATATCAGCTATCGGTTCTCCACTGCCTTAACCAGGTATTGAACTCACAACTTTTTGTGTTCTCTCACTGGATATAACCAACGCCTTTATCCACTGTCCTTATGGACATATGTGTTTGAATTTCTGGAACTTATAAACTTAATGTCTTCAGCAACCATTTTTACCAGTGCTCATATTGCAATTTTTGGTGTTAACAACATATTTTTACCAGAGCTCATATTGCAATTTTTGTTGTTATAATTACTTTTGTCTGGCACTCCCTATTACTGGTTCCCCTATTGTATTCATTTCTATGCTTGATCGGCTCAGGAGATTTTTGTGGCCTAGCATATGTACTGATTCCTTAATTTTACGAATTTTACAATAATTTTCTTTGTCTATGATTTCAACCTTATCCCACAGACGACGGTGACGCTCCCTTTTCTCTCCATATATGGTCAGCCACGCCTGATCTTTTCTCTTCCCCTCGTGTTACAGCTTTTTGATGTTCATGAATTCTTACCTTAAGAATACATGTCACAGTGGATAAATGCCTTGGTTAGATCCAGTAACAGGACCTAAAGGGATGTGAGTTCAATACCTGGTTAAGGCAGTGAACTTTGAGAGATTAATTAACAGGAGATAACTTATAACTGACATCCATTAGATATGGCACGTTGAACTAGAACAGTCTACCCCAGCGAGCGAAATAAAGGGTTCAGTTCGACATTCCAATCATCAGAAAGTTTCTTAGGATCCCAAATCAAGTTTTCAACGTAGTTTCATTCCTTCTAATTCCACTTTAAAATAAGAGCAGATATATTGTCCCCGTAGATGCTTTTGAGTTAACTTATTAGCCATGTGCTAATTGAACCTCTCCCTTCAGCACCATACGAAAACAAGTCATCTGTGTCTTCTTCATTGGTCGAAACATATCAATATCTTAAGGATCTGTGACGAAATTATAAGTTGTATGAAGCAAGGTTGTCGGGCATGTGCTCTTAATACTGTGTGGTCTTACATTTAACTGAATTAAGCTATCTATTTACTGTACATTTCCATAAATATTCGCTATACGTCCAGTATAGGGAATATTTATATTATATATTTAATATATTTAATAATATATATAATATATTGAATAATATTTAATATTAATATATATAATATATTTTATGATATTTAATATTAATATATATATAATATATAATAATATTAAATATATTAATATAGATATATTTAATATATATTAATATATATAAATTATATATATAATATATATATATATAAATATATTAATATAGATATTTAATATATATTAAATGTATTATATATATTAATAATATTGCCAGTTTTACTTTTTCAAACCAAGAGACAATAGTTGTATTATCAGCATAAATACCTAGTCAGAAACTGATGATATCCTGAAGGTCATTGATGAAGATCACAAAGAATGTAGGTCTAAGAATAGATCCCTGAATGACCCCCAAATTAATGGGGAATGAACTAAAAGTGTGTCCATTCAACACGAACCTTCATTACATGATTTGTTAGGAATGATACTTTCCATGGAAGTAGCAATAGAGCAGTGAGTGGCTCGCCATAGTCCACCTGTGAGAGAGAGGGGTGAAGAGCAGAAGGGAGAGGAGAAGGGGAGTGGAAGAGAGAGGAGAAGGGGAGTGGAAGAGAGAGGAGAGAGAGAGAGAGGAGAAGTGGAGGGAAGAGGAGGAGAAGGGGAGGGGAGGGAGAGAGGAAGAGAGGAGGAAAGGAGAAGAGAGGAGAGAGAGAGGAAGAGAGAGGGAGAAGTGGGAAGAAGAGAGAGGAGAAGTGGAGTGGAAGAGAGAGGAGAAGGGGAGTGGAAGAGAGAGGAGAGAGAGAGAGTGGAAGAGAGAGAGAGAGAGTGTAGAAGAGAGAGGAAAGAGAGATTTGTCAGGAATGATACTTTCCATGAAAGTAGCAACAGAGCAGTGAGTGGCTCGCCATAGTCCACCTGTGAGAGAGAGGGGTGAAGACCCAGGGAGAGGAGAAGGGAGGAAGAGAGGGGGAGGAAGAGGAGAGAGAGAGAGAGGAAGAGAGAGAAGGGAAGAGAGAAGAAGGGGATGGAAGGGAGGAGAAGGGAGGGAGGAGAGAGAGGGAATAGAGAGGGAGAGGCAGAAAGGGAAACAGAGCAGTGAGTGTCCACCCAGAGAGAGAGAGGAATGGAGGGGAAAGAAGGAAGATATAGGGGAGGGGGGAGAGGGGAGAGGCAGAGGGAAAGGGAAGGAGAGATAGAGAGGGACAGAGGGAGAGAGGGGAGAAGGGAAAGATGAGAGGAGAGAGGATGAGAGAGAGGAGAGAGAAGAGAGAGGAGAGAGAGTGGGGAGAGAGAGATGAGAGAGAGAGAGAAAGGGAGAGAGCTTGGGGTGTGGAAACTAATTCTTTGCCGAAAAGGCTTGCAATGCATTTACATTAGACATAGAATGATTCTGTCAGTGACATTCTAATGATGATGCTGGTGATGATGATGATGAACCATTACAAAAACGATAGCCGAATTATTGAAATATCAATTAAAATTATAATTGCAACACAACAATGAACATATTTCTTTTCAAATAAATAAAAAAGAAATTCTATTATCATTAATTCAATATAATCACTTCATGTGAGCCCAAGAAGGTGAAAAGAGTTGCTCTCCTGTAGGTTAGCATCAGTCATGCTGATGGCAGGCAGAAAAGGTTCACTATGATGATTTAATGAAACCAGTCTTATTTGAGATGTGTTAAAATTTACAATTTCTTGCTCCAGTTAACCACTGATCGGAGGTCATTTTCAATAACAGTTTCTATGTTTATTTTTTTCAGATTTGTCGGACATGCTACCAAGACAGGATTAAATGATAATCCCATTTGCATAGATGTCTAGCTGGGAGCTGATGACATCGGGGAGATCACTGATAAAGCTCACAAACAACGAAGGTCCCAGGATAGATCCCTGGGGTACTCAGCATTCGTCTGAATAGATCTAGAATCGATTTGCATATTAACAATGAAAATCGGACACTAAATTTTGCATTGGTTTGATAATATTTTACTAGTTTATTTCTCGTACCTGCATTTGATATAATAATAATTCAATTGTCTAAATTTGTTAGATAAAGTGTTGCAATATTAATTTTTGTCTCATTCATATTTTTTCCTTTAAGTTTTTTTATAACAATAAATTTTGCAGAAAAATGTCTAGTAAGAACATTTTTCGAATACGCATATTTTCGTCAAAGTACGATTATTTTTTTATAGGGACAATGAAAGAAAAGAAACGACATTAGTATCAGGAGACATCTACTGCTCATAACGTTATTATATGTAATAGTTTTTAATTAAGTTGGATAAGGTATTGTAATATTAACATATTACTAGTTTAACTAGGTGGTGTAATGGTTAACAAGCTTGTCTCGCTAGAACAGTTACGGCTGAATTGAGAGTTCGATCCTTACTGGGCGCCCATCCTTTCGGCCTTGTGCCACATCTAAGCAACGCTTGGAAGACCACCACTACTACTTTAGGCACCTCGAGGTGATGTAATGGTCAGCAAGCTTGTCTCGCTAGAGCAATTACAACTGAGTAGTGAGTTCCATTCTCACTGGGTGCCCCATACTTTCGGCCTTGTGCCATACTAGGCCGGGCTTAGAAAATCACTATTACTAGTTTAACTGTCGAGGTACTGTTAAATGTATTCATTTTTAAAATGAAGTTTAAATTTGTTAGATAATGAATTGTAACATGAGGTTTTGACTAGATTATATCTCGTTGTACTATACGATTCTGTAGTCTTTCACCAGCGTAAATTTGTTAAAATATTCTAATACTAATGTTTGACTGATGTATCTTTCGTGCTAGTATTAGATGTAAAAGTATGCAATTTTTAAATTGTTTTTAGATTCATTGTAGTAATAATTTTTCAATAGAACTCTCTTAGTAGTATTCAACTGTCTAAATTTGTGATATGTTTTACCATTGATAAAGTTCACAACAGCTTAGGTCCCAGGATAGATCCCTGGTGTACCCAGCATTTGTCTGAATAGATCTGGAATCGATTTTCATATTAACAATGGAAATCAGGCTCTAAATTTTGCATTGGTCTGATAATATATTACTAGTTTATTCCTGGTACCATCATTTGTATTAATAATAATTCAATTGTCTATTTATTAGATAAAGTGTTGCAATATTAATTTTTGTCTCATTTATATTTTTTCCTAGTAGTTTTTTTTTATATGTAATAATCTTCGAATAAAAAATGTTGCAGAAGAATGTCGAATAAAAACATTTCCTGAGTACGCATATTTTCGTTAAAATACGACTATTTTTTTAGAGAGACAAAGAGGAAAAAAAACGACATTAGTTTCAGGAGACATGAGATCAATGAATCTTTTGAAAAAATATCGGTCAAACCAGCTGACCCAGAATCGTCTTTTGTAATTCCTAGAAAATAAATCGGTTTTATTCTTTCATGCAGAAGACAATGTGTAAAGGAAATTATTTCAACGCCACCCGATGAAGTAAATCACGAAATCATTTATAACTATATGAATGATCGAGTTCAGTAAACCAAAATCAGAAATATTATTTATCTGACAAAAAAAAACAAAACAAAAAAAACCTTGCTTGACAAAATGGAAAAAAAAAGTTTACGTGTGACACGTCTTGTTCTTTAGGATTTCATTGGACTGACGTTATGTTTACGCTGATCGGATTACCCATGCGCAAGAAAGAAATGGGATGAAGAGAATTTTAAATTTAATTATTTTTTAAACCGCTTTCCCGGCGTAGACACAGACGAATAAACACATCCAAGACATAACGTTCAAAAACCTGCTACAGACGTGTTTACACGTCGATTTTGATTCTTTTTATGACCTTCTAAGTTTGAAACGAGTCCAGTTGTCAACTCATACGTCTTATAGTGGTATTAGTCACCACTTGGTGACTTAAATTTGCTACAGTTTTTAGTTACTATATTGAAAAAGAATTTTAAAAATCGTCTGAAAATGAAACGTTTTTCTCAAAATAATTAGCTAGCAAAGGATTAAATATTGGTCAGTAAATTAGATCAGGCAAAATAAGAAAGTTGTATTTGGTTTATAGATGAAGATGTGTATATAATATAGGTCTTTTTTTTTTTAATCGAAAATGTCCTTTTTAGACAATGACGAATAAACACGTCCAAAGCATAACGTTCAAAAACCAGCTACAGACGTGTTTATACGTCGATATTGACTATTTTTATGACCTTCTCAGCATGAAACAAGTCCAGTTAACAAGTAATACGTCTGGTAGAGGGGTTAGCTCCTGCTTGGGTACTTCAATGTGCCTCAGATTTTACTTACTATTTTAAAAACAAAAAAATCGTCTGAAAATGAAACGTTTTTCTCAAAATAATTGGCTGGCAAAGGATTAAATATTGGTCAGTAAATTAGATCAGGCAAAATAAGAAAGTTATATTTGGTTTAAAGATGTAGATGTGTATATAGGTTTTTTTCTTTTTTCTTTTTATTCTTTTGTTGACCAAAAATGTTCTTTTCAGACACTGACGAATAAACATGTCCAAAATATAACGGTAAAAAAACAGCTACAGACGCGTTTATATGTCGATCTTGATTCTTTTTATGGCCTTCTGAGCTTGTTCAAATGTCAACTCATACGTCTTGTAGAGGTGTCAGCCACCACTCGGCTACTTCAAGGGGCTCAGTTAAACATTCTCGATATTAGACATTTTCTTTTTTAGTCACCCAAATGTCTTTCTTGAACTGGCAGTGAAAAAGTTCTTTTGCGTAAAGAATAATAAAACAATTAAGATTGGTCCGAGAAAGAGTGCGAAAAGATATTTGTATTCTTATTTTTTTAATGACCTTTGTGTGTTCTTAGATCTATTTCCGTTTTTTTTTTGTCCGCATGCGTATGTATACGTATATCCCCTCTTCATACATACATACTGTCTTATTATAAGGAATGAATATATATATATATATATATATATATATATATATAATTATTTTTTATAAAAAAAATTATAACATAAGTATGTTATAAAATCACTACAAAATAGCCATTTTTCCACAACACACTCTGTGTCTTATCAAGTGATGATGTTGAAAAGAAAATAAAACTTTCAACATCATCACTTGATAAGACACAGAGTGTGTTGAAACAAAATGGCTATTTTTGTAGTGATTTTATAATATACTTATGTTATAATTTTTTTTATAAAAATAATTATATCTCTTTCTACTTTGTATTGAGCACTCTTTTAAGAATAGTAATTGTTGGTTATTGGAATTCATTCCGTGTATACCAATTATATACTTTACTGTATATATATATATATATATATATATATGCACATATACACGCACATACAAACAAACAAACACACACACACACACTTTCTATATCTTGTAGGGTTCGCGTGTATGTCCGTGAGCAGTCTTGTTGTAGCAAATATGTGCATATATATATATATATATATATATATATATATATATATATATATATATATATATATATATGTATACGTGCCCTGCCCTCATACATACTGTCGTATTATAAGGAATTAGTATACACACATACAGACATATATGCATACACATATACATACATACATACATACATACATACACATACACACATTTCCTATGTTGTGTAGGGTTTGCACACGTGGTTGTGTGTAGTCTATTGTTTTTGCCAATATGCGTATACATATTCGTACTCCACATATATCTGCGTGTGAGTGTGTGCGCACGCATACGATTGGTTTGACCACTGTATTTGACTATTATGTGTGCATGTTGTGTGTTTTTAGGTCTTTTTTTATTTATGAAGTTTTTTTTCTATTTGTAGGTAAGAATAATTGTCTGTTTGATATATTTGCATAATTTTAAATTCACCCTTGTTACATTTATAGATGTGTTGTGATACAAAGTGTTTTCTGTTGTCTAGTATAATGGTCTGGTTGTCATATGTAATCTCACTTTATATCGATCTTTCTGTTCACATCTCCAAAACTTTAATTCAGGATCCCATTTGCTCATTGCGTCAAAAATAAAAAAGGTATCTATTGTGTATCACTTTGTTTCTTCCACGTTTGATAAAATATTTGATTCCATTTAGGAATAAAAGGGCTTTGATGACTGAAAAATATGAAACTGCACTGAAGAAAATATAATATAAAATATCTATAACTACTCCTTTTCTTAAATTGAAAAATGTCTCCAACTAGTCCTTTTCTTAAATTGGACGAAGTACTAATTTGACTACTAAACGAGAGAGAGAGAATGAGAAAGAGAGAGAGAGAGAGAGAGAGAGAGCAAATTTGACTATAACGACAAAGTAGTAATCTGACCCCTAATCGTCTCTCTGCCAAAAAATTCCCATGTCGAATCGGCTAGGCCTAATCGGTCACGTC